TAGTTATCATGGGAAGGAGGAGGAAAATCCCTACCATCATCTCAAGACATTCTTCACCATATGCTCCACATTCAATTATGGCGGTGTTAGTGAAGAGCAAATTCGACTCCGATTGTTCCCATTTTCTCTAAAGGATAAAGCGACAAACTGGTTAGACTCTCTTCTAGAAGCATCTATAAATTCTTGGACTGATTTATCTAAGAAATTTCTATCAAAATTTTTCCCTGCTCGTAAAACCAATGCTTTGATAGCAACTATTATGAGTTTTCGTCAACAAGAGCGTGAACAATTTCATGAATGTTGGGAGCGATATAAGGATTTGTTTCTTCAATGCCCTCATCATGGTTTTGACATATGGCAAAAAGTTCACTACTTTTATAGAGGGTTGAACCCGCAGAGCAGGAGCATGGTAGATTCAACAGTTGGTGGAAGCTTAATGGACAAAACTGCAGATGAAGCTGTCAGCGCATTTGAAACAATTTGTGAGAACTCTGAGCATTGGGACTTTCCTACAAAAGATACAAGAGTTGCACCTACATCATCGACACAGAAAGGAGGCATCTATGAAGTTAGTGCCAGCACGAGTTTAGAAGCACAAGTTGCAGCTCTCACAAAACTTCTCACGCCACTAGTACAGAAGGTAACTACACAACCATGTAATTTATGTGCTAGCATCACCCACGACACTGCAAATTGCCCATCGAATCCTATCCTATGTGCAAGAGGTCAACGCATTCAATGGAAGGCCCCGAAATGATCCTTATTCCAACACCTATAATCCGGGGTGGAGACAACACCCAAACTTCTCTTGGAGCAATTCACAGAATACAATGGGACCTTCCAATTCCTCAAAGCCATACCAGCAGCCCTATCAAGCTCCTCCACAACAACAAGAAGATCCTTCTATCAAGGAGATGCTTGTTAAGCTCATAATTTCATACATATACATGCCCAATTTACTTACTTCTTTTGCTTAGTTTCCTATAATTCTGAGTTAGTCCTTCTATCAAGGAGATGCTCTCTCAACTCTTGAAGAAATCAGACAGATATGAACAAGAGGTTGCATCACTTAAACAAAGTCAATCAGTGTTGGAAAAGAGTCAATCCAAATTCGAAGTTCAGTTGGGACAAATAGCCACTACTTTGAACAGATTAGAGAGAACACAAGGTCAATTTCCAAGCCAAACAGAAGCCAATCCTAGAAATCATGATCAAGTCCAAGCTATTACTACTCTGAGAAGTGGAAAGGTGATTGATAATAAGATTGGAAATTCAGAGATCACTGATAAAGAAGAAGATGAGGTCGTGACAAAACCAGGGCAGCAACTTGATCAGCAATCTGAAGACTCCTTGAAGTCTGACAGTCACGCTGAGTCTGTGAACCACACTCTTCCTACTCAAAACGCAGACACTCATGGTCCTCTACCCTTCCCTCAACGTAGTAGACAGGTTCGAAACAATAAGTATAAGGGAGACATTATGGAGCAATTTAAGAAGGTACAAATTAATATTCCTTTGCTTGAGGCTATTAAACAAATCCCTTCATATGCAAAGTTTTTGAAGGATATTTGCACCAACAAAAGGAGGTTTGAAGAGCATGAAAAAGTGATGTTGTCCGACAATGTGAGCGCTGTACTTCAAAGAAAGTTGCCACCCAAGCTTCAAGATCCTGGGAGCTTTACAATCCCGTGTACCATTGGAGAGAGAAAGTTCGACAAAGCTTTGCTTGATTTGGGGGCTAGTGTGAACTTAATGCCTTATTCGGTATATGAACACCTTGGGCTAGGGGAATTGAAGCATATCTCTATATCTCTACAATTTGCGGATCGCTCTGTGAAGTACCCAAGAGGGATTGTTGAAGATGTACTCATCCACGTTGATCAATTTATCCTCCCTGCTGACTTCGTCGTCTTGGATATGGAAGAAGCTGAAATTTCAGGTCGCGAACTCCCTCTCATCCTTGGCAGACCCTTTATGGCCACGGTAGGTACAAAAATTGATGTTAAATCAGGTTTACTAACCATGACTGTGCAAGATATTACTGTCAAATTTCAGGTCTTTGAAGCTTTGAAGAGACCCATAGATCCTTACGATTGTTTTCACGTCGAAGTTATGGATTGCATTATAGAGAAGACATTCATTGAATCAAGCCTAAAAGATCCGTTGGAAATATGCATCTCACAACATGGCATGAGTTTTGAGAAGGCCACCATTCTTGCAGCAGAGGAAGATCTCAATGCTGTGACATCATATCTCCCTTGGAGCCAACCTAAGTTTGAAATTTTGCCCTC